CTGGGACACGAGGCGCCGTCCTGTAAACCCTTTTTGTGAGTTCCCCACTGTCTTTTCTGTACGGCAGCACCTCGAGAAGCGACAATGAATACTTCTTAGCACAAAAATAGCTGCGGGCGAAAAGTATACCGCCGAAAGAAATCTCACTGCAGCATTCCACCTGATAGGAAAGCCAACTTCGAGTTTCTGTGGAAACGTTTCATGATTAATAGATAAACGCAAAAGGACCTAACATTACAGAATAACTGTAACGTAACTGTAACTGTAACATTACAGAATAACTGTAACTGATAACGTAGCATTTACAGATGTGTCGTAACCTAAATCCGCAAGTGCACGCGTAACCTATCACCTCCCGAAAGAACCCGCAGACGCAGCGGTACCTGCCTATCCCATTCCCGTCAGGCCAATCATCTTCATGTGGCCGAATCACACACGAGCGCACCGTAGACGCTGTGGTGAACCCTCCGTTGCGTTTTGCCCCTGCAGGCAGACACATAGCGACCACGTTAAGGAAAGGAAATCCTTCTAATAAGCTGACTCTAAGTTGAGAGCCACGCATACCTATCAGCTTGCCTATCTGTTCATATGCATAACACTAACTGGCAGTGACTAGTTGCCAGACATGTTATCAACGAAGATAGACTGTTTTAATATAAACTTCACTCGACCGGAAATGACGTCTACGAACTGAATCACAGTGCTGGGCGTAGATGTGCACGTCAGTTGCGTATAACCCTTCTGTCTGCTATCTGTTCTGGCACGATGACATCGCATAGTCAACAGCCGCTCACTGTGGAGAAGTTGTTGTGGCTAGCTATCGTCGAAATGGACTTTACCAAAGGCCAACATATGCGGTTCTTCACGTTTGCGAACAGCCAATCACAGTTGTAGCATAGATGCCTTTTGGGATGGCGACGAATAGCAAGTTAGCACGCGTTCCCGACATAATTTGTCTCTCTGGTCAAAAAAACATCAAGACCGACCCAGACAATGAACGCTGTTTCTTTCTGCCTGACTGCTGTGAAGCGGCACTTGGGCACGGCTGGCTCTCTTGGCAGGTCGTGTGGTCTACAAGTCACATTTCTTTCCATCTAT